GGGGGGGGGGGGAGACTTTCAAATCGTAATGATTAGATTGTAATTTAATATTTTATCTGCTTCACGCCGCAACATTATTTGTATACAACAACCTGTACCATCCCTGGGGTTAAAGTATACACATGGTGTAATCCAATTTATCCAAATACAGTTCGCATTAGCAATCTATTCTAGTGTATCTAGGGCATTTATAAAGCCTTCTTATTGCAGAGTTAAACAAAAGATAACGACATGTAATACATGAAGGGGCAGTAGGGATTGGAGGAAGGAGAGGGGATGGGTTTACAACGTCAATTATATTATATTCGTTCGTGCCTTTTTCTTTTCAACTTCTAATTGTTGCTCTACTTCGAAATGTTCAACGTTTTGTATGAAATTACGCTAGCATGTGAGAGATATAAAACCATTATGTTCCTAATTTCAAACAAAATATTCGTTCTTTGAAATGTTTTCAGTAATTCACCATTACAAATAAAATTTCTTCAGTTACAATGATAACCAAAAAAAAACTCTGGAATAGAAAGTCTACTTTTAGACTCTAGTTATGATTATACAAGTCTAACGAACATGAGGCACAGAAATTGTGCAGTGTAAACAGACCCATTTCACTTGATAAGTCATATATTAATACTGGTACTAAAGAACTAGCTGAAGTTCTCGGCGTTGCCCATGTAGCACTTTTGAAAATAAAATTTTAAAATTTCGAAATTTAAAGAATTAGCCTCTCAACCCCAGGGTATCCGATGTTTTCTTTAAAAAATTCATCCATTTTGGTCAAGCCGTTTGGCCATCTATAACTATACATATGTATATATATGGGCGATGAGCTTTATTGTATAGAATATAACTGTCGTCTTACTATTCCAATGATGTTTGGGTCTCATGTACTGTAACAGTGTAATTAGAGTTTACAACGGGCAGCCGTAGTACATTTGAATTTCCGAGCCGGGTCAACCTTTCCGGTCCCAGTTTGTACTGTATCGCCCGGACATTGGGTAAATTATGCAGACGACCTCAATAGGACTAGTCGGTGCAACAAGGCTGACGTGGTCAGACTTTAGGTTGAATTTACTTTTACTAAAGGGTCAGGGGTGCGTGTTACTGAACCTGCGTTTGTAGTTTCCCTCCATGTAAGAATCCGAAGGGAATTGGAGCTCCTCCATTGTCAATGGACTCAGCCTAAACCAGATTTATTACTGTTCATTGTGGCGTTTAAATCAATACTATAAAGACTACTTTCATATTTAACTTTTGATTTCTAATAAGTTTTTAAATACAAGTTTACAAGTAAACATTAAGAGAAGCTGTTAATTGACAGCTCCTCTTTGCTTCAAAGTTTCTGTTTATCCAAGCTGTTTAAAATTGAAATCAAAAGTTATCTTTATTGTGTTGATATATAACACGACAAGTGAAGGTTTTTGGATTCTCTGACTTAGATTTTTTAGAATATGATCTCAGCTAGTGAATAACAAGTTTTTATAAAGAAAGAATCAAATTACCAATTGTATATGGTTTGGAACCTTAAGCTTTCTGGAGCTTTTGAATTATTAAAATCTCTTGTTAATCTGAAATAATTAAAAAAATGGAACAAAACACGTTTTCTGATTTCCATAGTTCGCATTTAAGCACGGGTGCCTAAGAATATTGAAAATTAGTGACAAACTGTCCAACTGTCCTCAAAAAACGCGATATTCGTCACAAAACATGATTATAAAAAGTAATGGAAAAGAAAGGAAGAAATAACAAGTCTACCTGTCATTCATTCAAACATTGTCGTAAATTTGCTTTTCATAAAAAGAAGACGACTTAAATATATTTTCCTTGATTTTTTTGTTTAGAAGGAAACGCTGTAATTAAAAGTTACGACAAAAGTACTAATAAAAACTTGTCAACAATTTAATTTCTCGAAAACCAGTAATAGGCTGTCATATTTTTCTTCTCTTAAAGAGAAAATGAAAATTGTTCACCGTCATTACTTGTTAACTTCTAAAATAGAAAAATTAAGTTTAACCTTGAATGAAGATAGACAGTATAAGATTTTTTGAGACTTGTAATTTTTAATTGAATTATAGATGATAAATTAATAAGTTTTTTGTCTTTATCAACCCAAAACCAACTAAACATGGGTTTAGGACTCATAAATCATAAAAAAATCAATTTTATTGCCTGGCAGGTCACACTCACAGGCAAAACATTGTGCATCTTAAAAATATTTACCAAGGTTTTTGACTGTGCCATGCATACTGTGCTCGCCATAAAAGTCACAAATATCGCCTGAATGGATAAAGTTAATTTCAATTGAATCTAAAGTGCTCTATCAATTTCAGAAGCAATGAATGAAATGGTTAGAATTAAACAATTTTCAAAATGACATCATCCACATTATTGATCAGATAAAGGTATACAGAGTACTGTTGTGAATCAAGCATGCCAATATTTTAAAAGGCAGGTTACTTGAAATAAAAGTAGCTTTAAATAAATAAAAAATTTTCTGCACGTAGTAAACTTTGTTCTTCCTTACCTGGGCTTTCATTTTCTTATTGGAAGATCGGTCTTCATATCGTTTTATATATACGAAGAATAAGAACGCAGGTAAACTGGATTTCTAGTCAAAGCAAAAAGTTTTTTGTTCTCCGTAACAACCAGCCAAAAAAAAATTTTCTAGTGGCCTGGTTACTTTAAATGGTTTTATGAAAATGATTGCTTCTGTATTGTGAGTGAAATTTTCAAATACAAACACCCTGCACTTTTAAGAAAATGTTTTTTCACAAACTGTGATTTTGAAATCCCTATATCTTAGAAAACCCGATGTTGTAGACCTTTGATATTTTAAACTATAAATTCTGTTAGATACAATTGTTCGCGTTCAAAACTTCAAAGGTTTACCCTATACATTAGGTTGAAAAAAATATAGGAACAAGGAAATTTAAGTTTGTGGCAAAGACTCAATTCCTTTGTGGGATAAATGTCAAAGTTTAATAATTCTTTCACAGCATTATCTTTTTTCTAAAGTATCTCAATTCTCATACTCGTTTCGGACAAGATAATAGAAGATACAAATTAAAAGAAAAATATTAATTAATATTTATGATATCCTCTCATAACAGCTTATAATAAACAAGTATTAAAATCAATGTTAAAAACCTATTTCAGATTGTATAAAGGGACTGGAAGTGTAATTTCAAATAACCCTTCATGCAAAGATGGTAATGTCCGATTTACCCTTAAACGTTTTGTCTGGTCAAGTATGAATTAGACATACATGTATTTGTGTTTTAAAGCAATGGAGGAGACACTCACAGAAAAAAAAACAGACATTTTTGAGTTAGGAATACAACGTTTTTTTCCACATTTTTGAACAGAATTAAGCTTCAGAGGTACTGTTGTTAATCGGACTTTGCCATGTTTGCATTAAGGGTCACTTAAAATTACAGTTACAGTCCCTTCAATTTTATAAATGTGTTTGATGTCGCTGGATTTGTCTTTTTATTTTTCGGAAAATTTATTCTTTTATTTCATTAGAAGAAAGGTTTAAAAATAAATATTGGGAAATCATTATTCAGATTAGTTTTTACTATTGGTGAAGACATTTTTTAATTTAAACTTTATCACAGGAACGGTCGTTGTAATAATCCTTATTCTATCTTATTTCCAAATTTTGTAAGCAAAAATGCGCGAGTCATTATTGAAAAACCAAAATGGGAAGAATTTGAAAAAACTTGTCATTTATGCGTATACTTTGCATTATCTTATAGGAGTAGTTAACCCTATCCCTGCTGGGGTACTTGAAAACCAGGATATGCTGGGGGGGCAATTTGACCCCCACCCTCTAAATCCCATGTTTTATATCCAAATATGACAAACGATACATCATTAGAAAGCTCTTGTGTTCTACTTTTAGAATCTGCAAAAAAAATTTCAAATTTGCAAAAATTGAACTTTTTATCGCAAAATCCAAATATAAAGTAAAAATGTTTGCAAAAAAAATTTGTCCAAAAAATGAAAAACTATACATTTTTGAAAAGCCCTTGACCATGCCATTTCAAATATGCAAAAATTTTTGAACAAATTTTAAATAACCTGGTTGTTTGCAAAAAATTTGCAATTTTATTTCGCAAAACTTGTGCAATCCGTTTCCTTATGTCATAGGCTTTCCAAAAAGCCAAATTTTATAAAAATCTGACAAGTGAAAGTGGGTCAAAACAAAGATTTAGTTTGTTACAGGACTTTAATTATCTTTTAAGACATCACACTTTTTATGGTAATAAAATATGAAATATCATAAAAACTGAAAATCCAGGAAAACTAAAAAAAATCTTTTCAGTCAGAATATACGTGTCTGATAACTTTTTTTAAAGTAAAAGTGACACATGAACGAGAATCATATTATTATTATTAATAACACTGTAAGGAAATAGGGAAAAAAATAATTGAACTGAATTCCAGGTTTTGGCGTTTTGCGCAAAAGTTATGAATGTTTGAGAAGAATAGAAAGGGGGCAGTATTGGGATTTGGTTACAATACATATTAACCCCGTAAAGCCATTAATAAAAACCTATTTATAAATCCAATGGCGTATTTGATATATTAATAATGGTTGAAATGAATAGACCAAATATATATTATGTACTTTTCAATTATGTAGTCTCCTTAATACAATGTTGAAGAATACAAGCTTAAACCTTTTAATACAATTATCCTTTTTTACATTATCATTATTATAATTGCCCAAATGTGGATACTTTTTTCAAACTCGAATTATCCCATATTTTTCCTTTTTGTTTCAGCTGAACCGATTGAAATTTAAATTTTGCATGATCCTTTCAGAGACTAACCTGCAGGGTTAGATATGTATGCTTGGAATCACTAAACCCTGCTCTTGTCCTTGCTGCTTTGTTTGCTATTGTTATTTTAGAGCACATGTCTTAATGCAGACCTTTTTTAGTCCTGGACGGAATTGTAAAAAAATCTTCATAAATTTAAATAGCGATATACATTATTAGTATTACTACTATTATGATTATTATTATGATGATTATTAGGATTAATACTGGCATATTTCCGAAATATTTAAAGGCAAGCACTAAAAAGACCAGATAAAGGTTATTTTGTGTTTGTTTGTTAAAAATCATACTTGTCAAATTGTAAAAGTTATATCGACAATTATTCGAAAAATCAAAAGGTATTGCCATGCGTTTTTCGAGAAATGTTTTAAAAATGGGAAAAAAGTTTTAAAACGATTGGTATGATAGTTAACCAGAAACAAAATCAGTGAGCTTGTATAATAATGTTTCAAATCTCGTTTTTGGTGCAGGTTTAAGTTTTCTCATTAGAACTTGGTAGCAAGCATCTTTACCACTTTTCACTTCTATAAATTAAGAAATGTAAGCGGAAAAATACACTTGTTGAAAATATATATTTCAGAAAACAACATATATATGGTTTAAACCAAAAAACATCCCATAGCTTTGTTTAAAAATTAAATGTACTGCAGTTACTGGATAAAATGTAAACAAACGTAGCCTCACTGTGTTTATATTTCCCCAAGTAACTGCTGTACACACTATTTGTAAACAAATTAGTTCCTTGGTTCTAGCCAAGCTCGTCGTTGGTTGTCTAATCCCGTCTCCACCACCAGTCTATTGCCTCTCTTGGTTGGCAAGTGTGGGATCTTCTATCGAAATAGTTGTTAACAATCCTGCAGTAGATCTGGGCCGAGGAGGAGGAAGAGAGTTCTGTCCCTGCTGGACCACACATAATGTTTGTGTCATCCCAGGGGCCAAGGGCCATACACTAAACAATATTCATTTATATATATAAATATATATATCTGGCTTGCCGGTCAGTTTGTGTGTAAAACAATTGCTTCAAACAGACTAACCTGCAATGCAGGCACAACCAAGGAGTATAGAACATAATGGAGAAGGAATCGACCCGGCCCGCCGCATTTTATGAGTATGAGTATGAGTTAAGGGTGATCATTATTGGAATAAAGCCGACCGCCCACCAGGGGGTGCTGTGTTTTACTTGAAAAAATATTGCAATAAAAAAATTTCAAATCGTCCATACGGTTGCGAATTGACAATTTAATATCGGAAAATCAAGGTAAGCCCTCAAAAAAATATTTTGAATAATTTCACATCAATTTTATGCCGAATTAAAATTTGAAAAGAAGTATTAGAAAGAAGTTAAAGCCATATAATGGTCGAAAAATCCGTTTTTTAACTTGTTTTTAACTCTTTTTGATGAGTTTTCTAGCTCTAACTAATTAAAGTCTCGTTTTTTAAGCGCTTTTTATAATTTAATTCAGCATAAAATTTCCAAGAAAGTGATTTATAACACGAAATTTTTATTTTGCAATATTTTTTTCAAGTTAAAACACAGCAACCTTGTGGGCTGTTATCTGACATTAAAAAAAGTCAAAGATCAATCACCCTTATTATACATGCTTTGCAGATGGTACTCCATTCGAATAAGAAATTGTCTAATGTACAATTACCGCACGTACATGTATTCAGAATAGATTATTATATACATTAAAGGGACCGTTCACTTATTTGGAAAATTTCATGGTATTAGCTTTTCATTGACATTAGTCTTATACTTTTCTAAGATATGTATGACCAGAGAAAAACCTGATTTATCGTTTAAAATTCCAGCGGAAATGTATAATACCTTAGCATTAACACTATTTAAACGTTTTTTCAGTAGCAAAAACCCCCAAAAAATATAAAATTATCATATCTGAATGACATCATGTGTCAGCCATTATATAATAAAATATAAAAACTTATGATTTTTGAATTAGCAAGAAATTAAAGTTTTTCGTGTTCAAGCATGGTTAAAGAATTAACACGTTCATACAAAAACAACTTTCTATCTCACCAAACCGGTTTCTAAATTCTAACTCTTCAATAAATCACGAGGATTCCTGGGGAAGTAAAGAGAAAACATTTAAAAAATTTATATTTTAAAAATAAAGATTTAAAAATTATTTAAAAAAAATTAAAGATAACTACAATTTTAGCTATTAGATACTAAAATTTAGTTTAATATTTAATTCATATCATACTTTTGCGCTGGAATTGTCTTTGAAAAGTTAGACTAATGCCAATAAAAAGCTGTTAGGCTATTTAGTTTACCCGAAAATTACCCAAATAAGTGAACGGTCCCTTTAAACAGGGAAAAAATTAGGCTGAATAATGCTAAACAAACACATTCTTTTTGGATGCAAATATATTGGCAATACAAGGGTATTTTTTATTATAAAGAAAATAGGTTTATTTTAATATTGTATAGTTAACAACCACATAAAATAAAATAAAAGACGACCTTTAAAAAACTCTTATTCAAATGGAATACCGTGTGTCCCGTGTGTACAGCATGTATAAATCATATGGTAGGGCGGGTCGGGTTGACTCCTTCTCCGTTACATTTCATACTCCTTGAGCACACGCACAACCCAAAATAATAATGAAAACTAAAATTGTTGCCTTAGAAATTTCGATCTTATAAATATATAAAATTCTTAAAAACTTGACAGAAAAATTCCTAATTGTGTTAGTAAATCTTGAAGGTAAAAAATTTATTTTTGAAAATTTAAAATTTTACCTTAACCATATAAATTGTGTTGACAAAGTTTTAAAGTTAAAATTTGTTATCTCTTTTTCCATTTTTATTGGTACACCCTGTTAGAGTTGGGGGCGTTAGGATTTATATATTTTTATTTCTTCGTCCATTGTTCATTGACGACCCATTTCGTTATTTTCTTTCAGTTGTTAAGAACAATTTGAATTCGTTAGTTTTTAGAATTTTCGTCAATTTTCTATCTATTTCGTTAGTGTTCTCACTGAGCAATTGTTAAAAATCGTTAGTTTTTTCAAGTTTGTTCGAAAAAACCGTTGTTCAATAAAAGTATTTTTTTCAAGATTGTTCATAAGAAAGATTTAGAAATCGTTCTTGAACGATCTGATTGATCCATTAAATACGAATGTATGTTCAGAATAAATTTCGTTTGGTGTTGAAACATTTCGTTCACAAAAACGATGCTCATCTCTACACCCTGTACCTCTGTAGCTCCAAGAAGATGCCCGAACTGATGAACAGCAATGGCAATATTTTTCATCTTGTCCGTCTCAGTTCTATTTGTCCAAAGATCTTCAGCTAGCTTCAGGAGATATTCTCCTTTTCCGTTCTCGTCCCCATACACACGGAAATATTGCCGTCGAAATTCTATCAACAAAAGTTTACAGTGGGACTAGGGTTTCAATCGAAATAGGACACTTAAGGGAATTGTAGGCCTTCATCATCCATGCAAAGATGGAAATTCACGATTCACAACGGTACCCGAAAAATCTTGTCTGATAAAGTATGAATTAGTTATTAATGTTTATAATTTTGAAAATTGCATGAAAACATATAGTAATTATCAGAATCTTTTAAAACTAGAATAGAAACAATATCTTCCATATTATTGATCAGATAAATATTTCAAGGGTACCGTTGTGAATAAAGCATTGTCATCTTTGAATGGATAGTTACCTAAAATTACGCTTACAGTCCCTTTAAGCAATAGTTTATTTGTTTAATGTTGTTATACAGTAATAATTTTAAAAGTAGTTTGAAAATCAACTTATGAATTAAAATGGGTAACCATGTTACATTAGAAATATGAAAGCGTATCATTAGTATACCTAGTATATTTCTATGATATATCATTAGTATACCTAGTATATTTCTATGATAATTAAATATGTATGGCTTTATTGATTTAATTAAAACGTCTGTTTTCTCAATTCTATCTCAAATTTTTGTTTTTTAAATATTAAAAATTATCACAAAATCAAGTTATACGTATCGATAAACTTGCAAGTTAAGTAAATCTAATTCATCTTCGATATCAGAAATATTTATTAAATTGCACATACAATTTATTTCAATTTTTGATAACGTTTAATCTTAATTATCTTACCAAATAGAAATTATCTTTCAAATGCAATGTTTACTTTTGATATTTCAAACTTAGATTATTTGATCAAACAGAATGTATATATTTGAAATATCAAGGGTTTACGACATCGAGCTGCAAACATATATAGATAAGAAAATATGTATATTTATTTTCAAATAATCTAAGTTTGATATATTAAAGATCTACACCGTTAAATTGCATAGATACAGGGCTTAGACAATTTGAATCTTTGTAAAGACTTTACAAAAATCGCCGAAGATTCTAATACCGCCATGTTTACTGGTGTTTATTGGGAAACTTTTGTTCTATAAATACCTCTAGTGAAGAGTGGACTGATGTAGTACATAGCAGGGTTATATTTATATCTGTTTAGTCCATATTTTCCATTTATATTTGGAACATTGTTCTTGATGAAACTTTGTCTAGTTTGTATTTTGGCAACAGCAAACTGCTCTATCTTGTTTAGAAGCCCAAAAGGATCTGGAAAGAAATAATTAAAGGGACTGTTCGCGTAATTTCAAGTGACCCTGCATGCAAAAATGTGAATGCGCAATTCCCGACAGTTCCCTTCAAAGCGATGTCTGATCAAGAGTGAATTATAAATCAATGTTTATAATTTTAAAGACTATTCATATTTAATTTTAATTTATCTACAAAAATGAATTTTTCCTAAATTATTGATCAGATAAAGGTTTTTAAGGGTACGGTTGTAAATCTAGAAATGCCATCTTTATATACTGCAGGTACCTTGAAATTATTGATAATATAAAGGTTTTTAAGGGTACGGTTGTAAATCTAGAAATGCCATCTTTATATACTGCAGGGTACCTTGAAATTACGATTACTATTTAAATGCTTTTATATAGGATTTTTTAAATGGTGTATATTTTTAAATGGCCGTTTTTTCATAATTTTTTTTTATTCATTTTAAACTGTTAAAAAATTCAAATAACTGCAATATGAATGTGTAATGATGTACCGAGAAATGTACCAAGAAAATCTGAAAATACGTAAATTCAAGTTTTCAAGAGAAAAGACTAAAATGAGTTAAAGAGTAAGTGAGTAAAAGAACTGGATTTTGACTAAACATTTTCAGATTTTTTTGAGATTGAGTCATCGTTATATTGGCAAGTTTAAAATTGCAAGATTACGTTTACTATAAATATTAGAAAATTTCATTTAAATTTTTAAAACAGACCCTGTAATGCTACGCCAGATACTGAGCCAGCATACCCTGCCATCAAGTCCTAGAGAGATATTTTAATGTTTAATTGTTCTCTGCTTGTATTTAGATTTGTCGTTGTTTATAGAAAGAATATTTTAACAGCAGGACATCAATAATTAATAGACATTTTAGTAAAAAATTTGAAGCAGTTACAAGAGTACAAGATCGTACTTTAGTATCTAGCCATGTATAATAAAATTTAAAAGAGAAAAGACAATTTTCTTTTTCTTTTGTAGACATTTAAAAGCTTAAAGACAAAACTGCAAGAAATTGCATTTTTAGAATTTTTCATTTCTGACCATAAACCTCTGTCCTACTCTATGTCCTACTCATACTTACCTCTCCTACTCGTCCTACTCCATACCTATCCTACTCGTTCTACTCTATATTTCTACTCATCATTACCCTTTTTACTTGTCCTATTCAATACCTATATCCTACTCATCCTATTCTATACTACTCATTCTTGCCTATCCTACTCATCATTATTTATCCTACTCGTCCTATTCTATACTACTCATCCTTACCTGTCCTATGTTTCCTTTTGTCCTACATTTTCCTACTTTGTCCTACCTTCTCCTACTTTTTACTACTGTGTCCTTCTTTGTCATACTTTGTCCTACTTTTCTTACCCTGTCATACTTATCCTTCCCTGTCCTACTCATCCCATCCTGTCCTACTAATCCTACCCTTTCCGACTCGTCCTAACCTGTCTATATACTCGATCTACCCTGTCCTTCTCCATTTTCCCTGTCCTACTCATCCTTCCCTATCCTGCTTATCCTACCCATTTTCTTACCCAACCTGGGTCTACCCGGTCCTTCTCTGTCCTACCATTTCCTACTTTTTCTTACCGTGTAACTCATCATACCCTGTCCTACTCATTTACCCAGTTCCCTGTCCAACCTTGTCCTTCCCAGTCCTACTCTTTCCTATCCGGTCCTACTTGTACGTCCTACCTTTTCCTGCCTATTATGCCCAATCCTAGATTCATCCTATTTTGTCCTATTTATGCTACCCCTTTCCTAGCCGGTCTTAAACCCTGTCCTACTCATTTACCCAGTTCCCTGTCCAACCTTGTCCTTCCCAGTCCTACTCTTTCCTATCTGGTCCTACTTGTACGTCCTACCTTTTCTTACCTATTCTGCCCTGTCCTAGATTCATCGTGCTTCCTACCCGGTCTTAATTGGTCCTATCCGGTCCTACCAGGTTCTGCCTGGTAGGGCCTGTCTTGTACCTGTGAGTTAAGATCAGGAAGGAGAAGTATCTTCATATTAGCGTAGGTATTGTTTACAGCAGCACTAGACTGTACGCCGTTAAATACGTCATCTGAGGCCAGCTGTTCAACCCAGTATGGATAATAGATGGCGCTGTTATTCAAAATCGTCAATGTATAATCAACGTTTAAGTAGTAATCATCATTCCTAAATATTTGAGTCCAGTTTGGGAAGTAAACCAAAGCTGATCTTAACTCTTGTTCCAACTCTTCTGGTGTTTCCTCAAAATGCTCGGCAAGAGCAAAAAAAGCCACAGAAAGTTTTACTTCTCTGTTACCAGCCAATTGCACAAATCCATTAGCAATTGAACACAAGCTGAAAAAAAATAAAAACATAGTTAAAACATCATATTTAAAATCGTTTAAATGGACAAGCTTAAAAACATGTATTTGCAAATATTTTTCACACTGCTTGTTTTTGCACTTTTATGCACCACTTTTATTCTTCCGCACCCCTTGTACTCTTCTGTGCTCCTTTTATTCCTCGCCTTCCCCGTTCCTTTCCCTGCACCTTCTTCCTTCTCTAAGATTACATTGTCCAATTATAGAACAAATCATGGACTAATTGTTTCCGGGAGAAACTTCGAGTCTTTTATTCATCTTAACATCAATTGTCTAGGATTTTTTCATTAAAGGGACTGTAAACGTAATTTCAAAAGACACTCCATTGATCATGAGTCATATGTCAGATTTAAAACAGCTTATCCTTAACCTTTTATCATAGATATATATATATTTATGCTTTTTATTTTGATTTGTGGGTTCTCACTTCAGAAACAAATAAGAAATTATCAGAATTAGGTACTTTTCAAATCAATTTCCACATAATTATTCAGATAAAGGTTTCAAGAGTATCATAAATTGGAGTGTGTTTAAGATTTTCTCAAATTTATTCCTGGAAAATCTAAATTATTCTAGTCAAAGAGAATAGAATACATATTAGAGTGGAATTTAGGAAATCCCTCGGTATGAATTTTGTCAGTCCCTTTCAGCCTGAAAGGGAGTTCAAAGTGTACAAATCATGTAAATGTTCTTAAATTATATGCAGTAGAGTACATTAATACAGTATGTTCCCTAGACTATCCATTTCAATTTCTAATTTTTTAAAGCTCTTAAATAAGCTTTATAAAATTAATTAGATGAATAAAAAACATCATTTGATTTATAGTTATAACGGAAAATTATCGTTTGTAAAGTGAAAGTCATAGAGTCTATGTGAAATGGTCATTGGTCAATTATGAAACCAGCCTATTTTATAATTTGGTTTTCTTTTAATATTGATTTTAGATTTCCTATAAAATGATGTTCCAGGGCCCAAAAGGTTATATAGCAAAAATATGTGAAGTACACCTGCAGTATGGAAACAGTACAACAAAATGGCCGTTTTACACTTTTTCTATTAAATTCCAATCTAATATATATTCTATTCTCTTTGATTCTAGTTCATCGCTGTTTTCAAAAATTCGAATGTGAAAATTTAAAGTTTGCCACTAAGGAAAAGTCTGTTATTTAACTGCATGTGATAAAAACCATCGTTTAGGTCAATTTTCAAAGATTTTTCTTTAATTGCTTTTTTGAGTTTAATGGAATAACATCTAAAAAAAATAAGTTACCTTTTATGCTTTAAAAAACTGAACAAGAACCAGACTAATTTCATTTTGAAAAAATAAAAAGATAAAGAAACCCCAGTTCTTTTGTAGCATCATTTATTTTCTTCGGAAAAATTATTGTGTCGCAAAGCATTTTATTTTGGTTGAGATAGCGGTGTAAACTGATCCATTGATGCAAGACAGTCTAGAACTAGTCGGCTTTAACAGTAAACAAACAAAATCATGATACAGGGAGACTAAGAAAACATGATAACTACAATTGGTTGCTTTTCTACAAATTTTAAACAAAAGAAATTAATTTCCAATAAAAAAATTAATTTTTAATGTTGTCATAATTATTATATAGCATGTTACTATTTTCTTAAGTTTTACCGTTTTACAACTATACAACTATCATAAAAAGACAACGGAAATGAAATCAAAAAAAAAATATTTATTCGATATTAAAATACATTACAAAGTGCATGAATGCACATTTTAAAAACCATTGTTTTACGTTGGTTCAAAAACTTGAATAAGGAGGCAGTGCATTCTCAATCTTCAGTTGTGCCAAATAAAAACAATTTCATTTTTGCTTTAAATATTCAAAAAGATGAATATATGATTTTATTAAAATACATCCGTTTTCTTTTGACTTTAGCGGACATTGTTATTTTGCCTATAATATTTAATAACAAGGGAATGGAGATCAGTTTAAGATTTATCAAATATAAGACTCGCGGATTTCTAAAAAAAATTTGAATTTTTTAAAGGAAGTGTACGCGAAAATTAAAGAGGGTATATGCTTACGGCGAAAATGAAGCGCTTTTGATAGTTACTAATTATACTTCTATCTGTTGCGTTTATCAGGAGAAAAATGTTAAAATCGACTTAAATACTGAAGAACGTAGCGTTCATACAAATTCAGAAAGTTGCAATATACGATTCGTATCGTAAAATAATCAATTTAATTTCAAACAAATCATTCAATATCACAACCTAAAGTCCTCGATTATTTTTCGACGCATTCGTATATAATTAATATTTAATATTCGTTGCGCCTGATACGCATCTTTATAATTATACTTAAATAAAAACTGACCTAATGAAAACAATATTTATTGCTAAGCCTTCCATAGTCAGCACACAACAAATGAAACGAATCATACATTTATTTTTCAATGTTAAAAGTTTGAAAAAGTAATTAATTTCAATTTTTATTTTAACGATATTTTTGAAGTTTATGATATTGCAATGAAAAATTACAGGAAAAAGTAAAGTCATGGTAAAAACAGTGCTATGCGAACTAAGCCGGAATAATTCATTAAGACTTAAAAGTCGTCTTTAACCTTAGAAATTGTTTGCAGAATTAATTGGCAACTTAGCTAGCTTTAACTTTCAGCATATTAAACATCTAACATTCTCTTACATTTCTCAAACCCGAACAAGATGTTTAAATATTATTATTTAAATTTCTATCTAAAGGGATTGTTAATATATTTGAGTTATGTATTGGGGTAAAATTACTCTGTATGACAATATTCAATATTTTACTTTTGTCCGCCTACATAAAGGTATATTTGAATACATTTCCTTCTTAAAATTTTTCATTTTAACAATAATGCAAAGAAAACAATTTCTCCAAATGCTTTTAAGAAAATTAAGATTTAAAAAAGTTATTGTTTCTATCCAGTTGTTTGGGGTACAAGTGTATGTTCTGTTTACCTCATCTGGCAGTTTGTAATTTTGCAAAAGAACATGATTTAAGGTTGGTTCAATAAATAATTCTAAAATAAAACTAAAAAATAAAGAAAATGGTAACTTACTTATATTTTTATATAAAAAATGAAAATTTAGTCAACCTAGTGTAAAATGACTCCACCGTTCACAGATGTTAGCTTTTGATTGACATTTATTCAAAACAGTTAAATATGATATTTTATCATCTTTTTGTACTTTAAATGGACTGTCAATATTAAGTTAAAAGATCTTTGCTTAAAGGGAATATTCGCGAAAAATGAAAGGGGGTATTGGCTTACTGCGAAAAATAAGCGCTTTTGATTGCTACTAATCTTACTTCTATCAATTGCGTCTATGGAGAAAATTGTTAAAAATGACTCATGCTCAAGAACGTCCATGCAAATTCAGACAAATTCAACTCGGATCGTAAAATAATCAATTTAAGTCCAAACACATCATTACCAATAATATTGTTAAATGATTAGTATAAACTAGAAAAACAAAACATTTATTAATAAATACACGTCTAACGTCAAACTATAGAAAACTGCATGTTATATGTTTCCTGTTATAACTCATCTTTTTAAAGAGATAAATAGAGGAAATCGAAAAAGTTTTGAATTAATAATATGTAACCGAAAAAAATTTGTCTTTCTCATACTTGTTTCTTAAAATCGGAATTAGAGGAGCACCAAGGTCACAAAGGCGTACCAGTAATGTAAACTAAATTAGACCTACTCCTCCTGGTTAGTTTGCAGTGGTCTGAAATTGAGTAAAACTTTTATCCTTCATGGTTTAGAAATTCTGTAAAAAGTTTTTATTAAAAGTTTCTCTTCCAAATCTTATTAAATACATTCCCTATCTAACTTTTGATATGCTATAAAAAAACTTGAATTAATGACTTCAAAGTTTGCAAATTCGAAACTAATTATCAAATTAAAGTTTGAGAAAGGAAATATTTATATATCTGAGGTTTAAGCACAACTTAAAATTATATTATTTATTTAATATACAAAACGAAGTTTTCCCATTTGAACTTCATGATTTCATTTCATCAGGTGTGTCAATATTAAAACAACATATGAAAGCCCTAAATCACTCAATCCAATGACCCTTTTTATATCAATGCTCTCATTAGTTAAACTCAAAGAAATTCCACCAATGACAAAATGAAAAATTCCTCCTTCTTCTAAGTATCGAAAGGGAATGTCCTCGAAAGTGGGGGTAAATTTCAGTATTTATAGCAAATGAATTTTGTCATTCTAAAAAAAAAGTGAACCGCATTTTACAAGTGACATTTTTCTTTCATTTTTACAAAAGGTTTACCTACCTTTTTCTATACTTTTCCACATTTATTGATTAAAATTATAAAAAAGTCTACTACCCACTCCCCATTTGAAATTCTTGGGTCCTTAACACATTTAATCTTTGAAAGAAATTTTCCATAAAAATATGATAAAAAACAGAGCAAATAAATTGCATCTAAAAGATTTTAAATATTACCTGAATTTGCCAGATTTTTCTATGGAAAAGGAAAATCTACATTCTTTACAGAAAATAAAATATTTAGGTTTAAAGACAATAAAAATTTGAAAATTCTTAGCTCTTTACAGAAAAGAAAATAATTTGGTTCAAACACAATTAAAATATTTTAGACATGATAATATAGCCCAGACATTTGTCCAACCATATGCAGTATGCTTTTCAAAAAGGGGACAATTGTCCGACAAAATATGACGTCACCATAGCTAAGGGGACATACAATTTTAAGAATATTTTCGTCTCAGTTTACAAAAAAGGGGACATTAAAGTAAGCTTGTAAGTGCCGTCTTTTTAAAAATAGAATAAGAGAAAGTATAGAGGGTGGAAGACCGTGGGTTGATATAGTAGGGACATGTTTATCTTTGATTAATTAAACGTGGGTTGATATAGTAGGGACATGTTTACATTTGGTTAATTGTATGTGGGTTAATATAGTAGGGACATTTTTATCTTTGGTTAATTGAACGTGGGTTGATATAGTAGGAACATGTTCATCTTTGGTTAATTGAACGTGGGTTGATATAGTAAGAACATGTTTATATTTGGTTAATTGCACGTGGGTTGATATAACAGGGACATGTTTATCTTTGGTTAATTTAGCGTGGGTTGATATAGTAGGGACATGTTTATTTTTGGTTAATTAAGCGTGGGTTGAAATACCAGGGACATGTTTATCTTTGGTTAATTGAACGTGGGTTGATATAGTAGGGACTTGTTAATCTTTGGTTAATTGAGCGTGGGTTGATATAGCAGGGACATGTCTATCTTTGGTTAATTGAACGTGGTTTATATAGTAGGGGCATGTTTATCTTTGGTTAATTGAGCGTGGGTTGATATAGTAGGAACATGTTTATCTTTGGTCAATTGAGCGTGGGTTGATATAGTAGGTATATGTTAATCTTTGGTTAATTGAGCGTGGGTTGATATAACAGGGACATGTTTATCTTTGGTTAATTGAACGTGGGTTGATATAGTAGGGGCATGTTTATCCTTGGTTAATTGAGCGTGGGTTCATATAGTAGGGACATGTCTATCTTTGGTTAATTGAACGTGGGTTGATATGGTAGGGACATGTTTATCTTTGGTTAATTGAGCGTGGGTGGATATAGTAGGGACATATTTATCTTTGTTAATTGAACGTGGGTTGATATAGTAGGGACATGTTTATCTTTGTTAATTGAGTGTGGGTTGATATAGTAGGGACATGTTTATCTTTAGTTAATTAAACGTGGGTTGATATAGCAGGGACATGTTTATCTTTGGTTAATTGAGCGTGGGTTGATATGGTAGGGACATGTTTATCTTTAGTTAATTGAGCGTGGGATTATATAGTAGGGACATGTTTATCTTTGGTTAATTGAACGTGGGTTGATATTGTAGGGACATGTTTATCTTTGGTTAATTGAGCGTGGGTTGATATGGTATGGACATGTTTATCTTTGGTTAATTGAGCGTGGGTTGATATAGTAGGGAAATGTTTATCTTTAGTTAATTGAGCGTGGGTTGATATTGTAGGGACATGTTTATCTTTGGTTATTTGAACGTGGGTTGATATGGTAGAGACATGTTTATCTTTGGTTGGTTTGTGAGCTCCATAATTCATTATAAGCTTTTGTAAAAGCAGACAAAAGCATTAGGTAATGTTAGCCTTTCAGTTAAAAGAGAACAGTTTACATTTGAGTTACTATTTTTTATTTGAATATTTCAATGAAAGCTCCAGTAGGGGGAGGGAGGCTTTTTATTCTAAAGAAATAAATTATGATAGATTTAAAATTTTATGAGTTTCTTTGAAGATCAGAATTTATCGGAATTTCAGCATATTCTCCTAATTAATATTTAAAACTAATATCTAAGATACAGGGGTCTCGTCTCGTTAAACATGAGTTTTAATGTTAGTTTCAACATTCAAAACACAGTAAATTTGTATAATGGTCGGCACTGATATCAATACAATGAAGAAGTTTTTTTTATAAAAGTTTTGCACTGATTTCCAACAAGCTTTTTTTAATTAGAAACAAATAAACTAAAAGACTTCGGTTCCATGTTGATGTACGTATCCATACTACCTGAAAGCATGTAAGAAATCAAAAATCTAAATCAAAAGTCGATTGTCTTCATTGTAATGAAATCCTGCTATACTTTTATTATGCTTCAGGTTAAAATTAAAATATGATTTTTTTTTTTGACTATTTTTGATTGATTTTAAAAAAATGTTCTAGATTTTAGTAAAAATAGATCTAGGAGGTCTCCTCACGTAAAAAGCGAGAAAATATTACTATTAAAATCATGAAGAACAATATAATTTTGCTTGACTGTCCGGATTTTTGAGTTTTACTAATTCTTCTCATTTTTTTTTCAGGGAAAAAACTGACAACCCGTCACAAATTAAAATTTGCTGTATCTTATCGCATTTTAACCTGATGGTGTAACGAGCGGGGGAAGGCAGGCGGCCATGAGCCACCACTATTTCCCCTTCCGTACCACCACATTTGACTCTTCCGGGCAAAACTACTTTTTTAAATCGTATATTTAGGGCCTTTAAAGTGTGATTTTAAAAAATCCAGCCGCGTCACGCAAAAAAGCACAACTCAAACCATTTTTTCAATTCTACTTAAGATTAATATTTTGTGTGTTGAATTCTTAAACTGTTTAACAATGAAATTTTTGACAAATTTGACTGAGTATTGCATCTTGAAATATCACAAAGTCTAATGATTATTCAATCACTCACTCATTATACTAAATTCATTTTAAAATCACGCATGACCAACTTTGTGATATTTCAAGATGCAATTAAATGAAGATCGTTTACTAACGGTAATTTAAAAAAAATGGAAAATTGCCCTTAACAGAACAAAAGTTCGTTCATACCTTAAAAGTTAACTGTTAACTGACATTTTTATTATTTTAACGGTTGGAACTAA